GATGTGAACAGTTTTTATGTTGCCTCAAGTGCTGGTGGTGGTAGCAGAAATTATTTATTGGAGGAGGAGAAGGAAAATGCTGTCTCTGTTCTTCAGATTCAGTTACTTGTCTGACAGTGGTCAGTTGGGGGTCCCCAGAGGGGCCTTTCCCCTGGGCTCCCTGCCCCCTCCCTGCTGGAGTTTTGGTCTCTGCCATGCCCCCCGCGGGGTCTGGACGGGCACTGGAGTGAGGACTCAGGAGCTCTTGCATGGAAGCAACAGTTTAAGTAGATACCGCTGTTAGAATGTGTAGTTTTAAGATATCAAAGATTTTAGGAATGGGGTGCCGTGTAATTTGAAACTTTCCTCGTGGGCCGGGAATGGAAATGCTCCATTCTCAAGCTAACGGGCGGCCTCTCAATGTCTCTCCCTGCAGTGGCCTCATCGGGCGAAGCTGGGCAATGCTGTTCGCCAGTGCAGGCTTCAAGGTGAAACTGTACGACATTGAGCAACGGCAGGTAACATACGCCCTGGACAGCATCAGGTGAGTCCACTGCACCTGCGGAGGAATCCAGCAGCCCGTGGCCTCAGGTGGTCTTGTTTTCCGTGTCCTCAAGGCTGTAAGTCCTGTGATTTCACTCTCCTTCGCTGTCGCAGCCTTGGAGCGGGTGAAGGCCAGGCTGATGGAGAATGGGATTCACACCAAAGCAGGGACTCAGATTTTGAGGACAGGACTTAGGGCAGTGAAGACATGTGAGGGGCGTGGAGGAACTGAGTGTAGACCCTCAGCTTCCAGCCCGAGTGAGTCAGGGAGCTGCTCTCCTGTGTCCCACGCCCTGGAGCTGTGTGGACTCTGCGCTTCAGAGAAAACTTAGGTCTGTGAACAGTCAGGAACCCACTCAAGGACATAGTAGGACACAGAGTCCAGCCGTGGCTTATCTGACATGCCAAGGACAGGCATCCTCGGCATTTGTCTATACTGTTCGTTTTATAGAGATTCTGCAAGTATTACTTTCCATGTTAAATACATACAAAAGAACAGGTCGCTTATACTAGTTTATGAAGACTGGAGTAAAACAAACATTCATGAACTTGAGGTCTAGAGTAGTATTATCAAAACCCTGTGTCCACCTTTTGAATCTGACCTCCATCTTCCTTTATTTTGTATCTACCATTACCTTGCCTAAAAAGAAGTTTTATCATATATTTGTTTCCCTAAACAATATATAGTTTAGTTTTGCTTGTTTTTGTGCTTTATAAAAATATTTTCGTGAGATTCACCCATGTCATTGCTTATAGCTGTAGTACATCTGTGTCCATTGCTATATAATATTCTGCTGTGTGACTTTGCTGTTATTTATTTATATTTTATCCTGAGGAACGTTATAGCTGTTTCTAGTTGGGGGCTAATGTAAACAGTGCTGCATTATTATCCTTTCATATGTCTCCCGGTGCTTAAGGGCAAGAGTGTCCACAGTGAGATTGCTGGGTCTGTTTTCCTTCTGGGATTCTGATTATATGTATATCGAACCAACTCATTCTAGCCTTCACATCTTTTAAAGTCTCTTTCAACTTTCCATCTCCCTCTCTCTTTGCAGGACATTCTGGGTACATTCTTTAGATCTTTCTTCCAGTTTACTGATTCTAGTTTTAGCTGTGTCTAATCTGTTATTTAAACCATCCACTGAGTTTATTTCAGTAATTAAATTTCCATTTTAAAAGTTCTATTAGCTTCTTTTCCAAATATACCTGCTCATTTTTAATAGTTTCTCATTGTTTGCTGATTGTTTGTGGTTCCATTTTTCAAACCTTTGAGCGTTTAATACATGATTGCTTTATATTATATATCTGATAATTCCAGTACCTGGGGTTGTCTTAGATCAGGTTCCTCAGAATCAGAACCTGAGACAAAGATTCCAGGGCCAGTGATTTATTAAGAAAGTGCTTCTGGGAGAAACCAGTGAGGGACTGGGGTCGGGATAAGGCAGACAAAGGTAAGATTTTGGGAGGAGATCCAGCCTCAGCGAGTTTGCGTGGGAGTCCTGGAGCGTAAAGTGCTCTGCAGAGTTTTCATCCCTGGAGGCTAGGGAGCTGCCTTCACACTCCTGCCTGGGTGTGACTCCCAGGCTTCTGGGTCCAGGGTGGTGCCCTGAGGGAGGGGGCAACGAAGAATTCACAAGCTGGGGGGATGGGCTGGTAAAGGGGATTCGGGGAGATCTGGGGGATCCCCCATGCCTCCACTGCAGAAACCATTGGGGAGTTTGAGGTAAAAACATTCTTTCCTGACTTATTCCCACTTTCATTCATTCAGAAACCCTGACTGAGCACCTCCTGTGTGCTGGGCACGGAGGCTGAAGATTAAGTGGCAAACACAATAGACTAAGACCCCAAACCTCGAGGGGAGGGGAGCGGAGGGGGGCGGACAGTCCAAAGGAGTCACTGGCATGCTTGGTGTCTCAGCGTCAGCTCTGGCAAACCAGGCAGCTGGCCAAATCCGGGCTGCGGTGTGTTTGGTGTATCCTGTGAGCTAGGATTGAATGTAACACTTTTAAGGATTATAAAATAAAAAAGAAGAAAAGTATGTAACAGAGACCTCATGTGGCCACAAAGCCTGAAATATCCCTATGTGGCCCTTTACACAAGAATCGCTCGACCCACGTGTTTAATAGTTGAGATTCCGGTTTCCACTCCTGACGTGTGGGTTTTCCCAGACCAAGCAGTTCTCCGACCCCAGTTGCCCGTCCTACGACTCAGCTCACTTCTGAGATGCCATCAGGCTCCGCAGGTGAGGGACTCGGTCCCGCGAGCCCCTCAATCCAGACGCCAATTAAGCCCAGTTGTCACCTGTGCTCCCGCCCTGTGGATCAGAGGTTCCCACAGCCCCCTCCTTGGCTTTGCTAACCGTGGCTAGAGCGGCTCACGGGTCCGGGAGACTAGCTACTCACTAGATTTCTGGTTTATTACCTACGGTGTTAGGGCTGCAAGTCAACAGCCAGATGAAGAGAGGCGCAGGGGACACGTGGAGGGGCGGGGAGTGTTCCTGCCCTCTGGGGACCCTCCCCTGAATCTCCACCTCTTCAACCTGGAGGCTCTCTGAACCCCATCTTTGGGTTTTATGGAGGCTTCATCATTTAGGCACTGTTGATTAAATCCATTAAATCATTGCCCGCTGGTGACTGAACTCACTCTCCGCCCCCAGGTCGGGGCAAGGCTGTAATTACTGGGATGGTGCCACAGGCAACCAGCCCCTGTCCTGAGGGGCTTTCAAACGTCACCTCATTAACATAACAAAAGACACATTTGTTGCTCTCTTCACAGGAAGTTCCAAGAGTTTTTAGGAGTTCTGTGCCAGCTCTGTGAAGACCAACTACATCTTTCTTATTGTAAGTCACAGTATCACAGCAGTAGTAGGTGCTAAGAAGAAAAACAAAGTTTGCGGTGGTTTATCACGGTAGGGGTGGGAAAGTGTCCCCTTCTTCCCTTCTAGGTTCTTTGGCTGGTCTGATAATTAAACTGATACAAGGCAGATTAACAGGAGAAAACCAGATGTAATTATGTACAGAGGGGAGCCCCCCAAAGCCATCAGGACTCCCCAGGCTTAGCCGGGCGGCTGAGGCTTCTGTAAATCCTGCCTGGGCGGGACGTCAGGATACCGAGGAGGGAAGGCCTTTCCCGGGAAGGAGAGGAGGCCTTGGGGTAACAAAGGCTGCCCTATTGTGCAGGGGTTTCTCAGGTAAAACTGTCTCTTCTGACCCAGGCCCCCTTTCCAATGTAAATGTAGGCAGTTGAGGGGGAAGGAAAGAGCCTTTCCTGAATCTGCTGGGTTTTGATTGCTTTTATCTCAAAACAGTCCTTGTGCCAAGGTGGCATATTTTGGGGTGAAAAAACCTGTTCCCCTTCGTTGCCTTGTGTGTTTGGTGACCTCTGAGCTCGAATGAGTTTGGCCGTAGTCTGTGGAAAGCCTGGGCCTGCACTGTACCTAGTGGAGTGTACTGCAAACTCTCCGCTGGGGGTTTTCTCAGTCATGCTCCTGGGTCGGGGGACTGAGGGTCTGACTTTGTCTCCTTCACTCCTGACCCGGGGTCTCAGACACAGGCCCCTCGTGCATGTACCCTTAGGACAACCCTGCCTTTTGCTGGCTTCAGTTCTTTTGTTTTTTTAGTTGATAAATATTTTTTTAATGAAACAGCTCCTTTTTAATACCTACATTTTCTCTTTTTATTTTATTTATTTATTTTTAAAATATTTATTTATTTGGTTGCACTGGGTCTTAGTTGTGGCAGGCGGGCTCCTTAGTTGCAACTCCAGGGGTCCTTAGTTGCAGCTCGCCAGCTCCTTAGTTGTGGCATGCAAACTCTTAGTTGTGGCATGCATGTGGGATCTAATTCCCTGACCAGGGATCGAACCCAGGCCCCCTGCATTGGGAGTGTGGAGTCTTATCCACTGCGCCACCAGGGAAGTCCCTCTCTTTTTAAAACAGATCTTTTTATTTAGAGCAGTTTTAGGTTCACAGCAAAACTGAGGAGAGGTATAGAGCTTTCCTGTGTCCCCCCCAGCCCCAGACACATGCACAGCGCCCCCACTGTCAACATCCCTCACCGGGTGGTACATTTGTTACAACTACAATGACACATCATCATCATCCAAAGACCACAGTTAACATCACAGTTCACTCTTAGTGTTGTATAGTAAGTCCCCTACACACGAGCCTTCAAGTTGCAAACGCGTGTTCGCATGTCCATCCACGTAAGTTAGTTCCCCTGTCCGGCGTACACTGTCACGTGTGTGCATCCTCTACAAGTGGACGGCCACTGTGCTTTTGTGTACCTTACTGTACAGTACTGTCTAGAGTACAGTAGTACAGTATCTTCATTTCAAGCCCAGGATGTCCGGAAGCAAGCGTAAACGCAGCGGTATATATAGCCGGTTGTGTGAGTTGGGCGCCTCGGCTAACTTTGTTGGACTTACGAACAAACTGGACTTACGAACGTGCTCTTGGAATGGAACTCGTTTTGTATGTAAGGGACTTACTGTACATTCTGTGGGTTCAGACATATGGACATGTATCCACCATTATAGTATCATAGGAAAAGTTACTGCCCTAAAAGTTTCCTGTGTTATCAAATGAAACTTCACGTGCCTGATGCACAGTGAGGCCCAAAAAACCAAAATGGCAGAGTATGGAGCAGAGAAAGGTTTACTGCAGGGCCAAGCAAGGAGAACCGGCGGCTTGTGCTCCAAAGACCCGAACTCCCCAGTGGTTTTTAGGGAAAAGTCTTTAATAGGCAAAATTTGGGGTGAGCGCTTCAGGGTGTGGGACTTCCTTCTGATTGGTTGGTGGTGAGGTAAGAGGGCGGAGCTTCAGGAATCATGTGCTCAGCCTGAAGTTACCATCCTCCACCTGGGTTCTGCAGAAGAGCTCAGACAGGTATTGCGATGTGTATTCCTTGAGGAGGAAGGAGGAGGGACCCCGCCCCAAGGCTGCGCTATTTCCTGACCGCTCCTCCCTGGTCTCTGCATCCCCTCCCTTCCCTGATCAGCAACTGTTTGAAGCTGCCCTTTGGAACTCAGGGAAGGTCTATGAGGCTGAACCCTTTTTCCTGCCAACAAGAAAAGGGGACACAAAAAGGCTTTTGTACCCGGGAGGGCCCCGCAGGGTCCTGCTCCATTTCACCTGTGCTCCCTCCTCCCAAGCCCTTGTCAGCCACTGAGCTTTATACTGTAGCAGTTTGGAATCACAGTCTGTAGCCTGTTCACGTGGACTTCTTTCATTTAATAATATGCACTTAAGTTTTCCCCATGTCTTTTCATAACTCATTCCTTTTAGCACCGAATAATACTCCATTTTTGGGATACACCGCAGTTTATTTATCCATTTACTTACCGGAGGACATCTTGGGCGCTCCCACATTTTGACAATTACGAACCAAGCTCCTATAAACGAACATCCACGCAGGTTTTTGTATGGACATGTTTTCAACTCCTAAGGGTGAATACCAAGGAGTACAATTGCTGGATCATATGGTAAGAGTTTTTTTTTTTAAATAGATTTCCCTTTTAAAAAAAATACATTTATTTACTTGCTTATTTATTTTGGCCGCATCGGGTCTTCGTTGCTGCACGCAGGCTTTCTCTAGTTACGGTGAGCGGGGGCCACTCTTTGTTGCGGTGCGCGGGCTTTTCATTGCCGTGGCTTCTCTTGTTGTGGAACATGGGCTCTAAGCACAAAGGCGAAGTAGTTGTGGCGCTCGGGCTTAGTTGCTCCGTGGCATGTGGGATCTTCCCAGACCAGGGCTTGAACCCATGTCCCCTACATTGGCAGGTGGATTCTTAACCACTGCACCACCAGGGAAGCCCTAGAGTGTTTTTAAAAGACATCAAAGGAACAAGGCAGCACAAAGAACTTAGTATTTAATTTAGTGGAGGATGAAAAAATATTGATAGTTAATCTAAGAAAGAAGTGGAAAATTTTATTTGAGCCAACCTGAGGATTATAACCCAGGAAACAGTCTTTCAGAAAGTCTGAGGACTGTTCCTCCTGTGAGAGGTCAAAGCACAGTTGTGTAAGTTTTGGGGATGAAGATGAAGGGTTATATGTCAAGTATGTATATTTGTTATTGAACTCACTGCTCAAAAGCCACTACTGGAGAGACCACTGTTGGTTGGAAAGGAAAGGTTGCTTTATTCAGGAGGCCGGCAACCTGGGGAGAAGGTGGGGTCATGTTCCAAAAAAAAAAATCCAAAGATTCTCCTCAACCATGAAATTAAAGGGAGAATCATTGGGAGAGGGGGTCAGTCTTCCTCATCTCCCACTGTGTGCAGACTTTCTTCTGATTGGTTGGTGGTGAGTAAAGGGCGGAGCTCCAGGAATCTTGAGCTCAGCCTGAAGTTGCCATCCTCCACTGGGTTGGGGCCTTAGTTCCGGTAGAAGAACTCAAGGTATTGTGATGTATATTCCCTGAGGGGGAACCAGCACCCTGCCCTGGTTTCTCTGCCCTGGGCAGAGAAAAGTTTTATGTTTAAATTTTCCTTGAAATTTACAAATGAAGTTTATAAATGTATAGATTAAATGTATAAATAAGTTCATAAATTAAATTTGTAAATAAATTCATAAATAAAATTCCTTGAAATACGAATTTTATTTCATCACGGTGACGTAGGGAGCAATAGGAATTTATTGTGAGTGTAACAACCATTAAGGGGAATACAGTCTAAAGAACTTTGAGGAATTTGTGGCGTTCCTAAGTAGGTGAAATTACACTGACTTTGATAAATTTATCTTTTGTTCCCACATTAGTGGTTTGTCTGAGTCGGGGCACAGGGAGCCCCTGTGGGGATGGTAGTGACAGTCGTGCTGGGCCTCACAAGCTGGGCTTTTACTTGGCTTTCTGGCAAGCGTGTTGGTGGAGGCGGTTTGGAGCTGAGAGTTCAGCTCAACAGCAGGCCCAGGGTTGGAGGGAAGCCCAGCCTGGAGAGGCGACCCTGAGCCAGCCCGGTGCGGGCTGCAGACCAGCTCGGAAAGGCCAGACAGTAGAGCTTTAGGCCTTTCAGTTCCTCTTTGTGGAGCTGAAGCTGCCAGTCCGTGTGCAAACAAGGGGCAGGCCTGCGTCCCAGCAAACTGAGTGTGTTAGCACCAGCTTTGGAGTCCATAAAATTGTCACACGTCACAAAGTATTGTTTGTTTGTTTGTTTCAACCATTTAAAAATGTAAAAATCGGGCTTCCCTGGTGGCGCAGTGGTTGAGAGTCCGCCTGCCGATGCAGGGGACACGGGCTCGTGCCCCGGTCCGGGAAGATCCCACATGCCGCGGAGCAGCTGGGCCCATGAGCCATGGCCGCTGAGCCTGCGCGTCCGGAGCCTGTGCTCCGCAACGGGAGAGGCCACAACAGTGAGAGGCCCGCGTACCCCAAAAAACAAAACAAAACAAAACAAAAAATGTAAAAATCATCATTCTCTCTCAGGCCTTATGGGAACTGGACTGTAGTTTACTGACCTCTACACTTTTCAGTTCTGTTATCGTTTCATGTTTTATTTTGTAGACCTAGTTCCAGCGCAGCTGTAACCAAGAGCAAACTCTTATGATTCCTCATTGAAAAGTCCTTTGTCCTGCTTCTTGGGGTATTTGTATTAATAGGCCTTATTTTTTAGGTGTATCATTAAAGATCTTGGCCACTTTTAAAGTCCTTTCAGTTATCAGGGAGAACATGGGGAAATTATAAGTAGGGTTTTCTTGTTGCTTTTTTTTTAGGCCAGATTAAAGGCTTTCCTATTTTCCTACTACTTTGCTTAATTAAGATCTAATACTTTAAACTATTATTGGTGGCCAATTAGATTGGCCTGTAAGATTTTTCAACCAAACAAAACAAAACAAAACAAAAAACACCAAACCAAAACAATTACTATTAGCATCCTTGTTATAGAACAAGCAAGTGTACTGAATTCTTATGTGTCTTAAGACTTGAGTACACACAGATCTTTCCTCATACAGTGGCTTTGTTTTCATAACCCACATATGTGTAAGTCGAGTTCACTTTAATATGCAGAACTGGTTGTACTTCTGACAGGAAGTGGGATTTCGGGATATCTTGTGACTGCCTCTGCTCAGATTGTTGCTGGCAAAAGCCTCCGGGAGAATTGGGTTTGAGTGCTGTCTGGTCACCCTCCTAGGTGGGGCACCACTCAGTTTTAGGTATTGTGACTAACGTAAGGCCACCTGCCCCCCTTTCTTAAATCAGGGGGTTTTCAAATGTGCCATTCCTGCACCGGAGACCAAGTTCAGAGCCTCGAATCCAAGCCTTACTTTTGGGAATATTTTGGTCAGGAAGATGAGTTCTGAGTGTCACAATCTTTTCAGCCAGGAAAGAATTGTCACTGCTTCTTTCAGTAAGAAAACCATCAGCCTGCAGGCCGAAATGGCTGTCGGCTCACGTCGACAGCAACACTGGGTGTTGGCTGTGGTCCTGAGAGGTTCAGGACCCCAAGATGAAGTATCCCTGGCCATGTCTTAGGCACGAGGCTTAAGGAGAACCAACTTTATCCTTTTGTCAAGAAGCATAAACGGTGTATCTTCCCGATTGGGTTAAATTGGCTGGTGGGTCGTTGTTGTGCTCAAGGAGCATCCTTATTATTTTTTAATACTTATTTATTTAGGCTGCATCGGGTCTTAGTTGCGGCATGTGGGATCTAGTTCCCTGACCGGGGATCGAACCAGGCCCCCTGCATTGGGAGGGCAGAGTTTTACCCACTGGACCACCCCAGGGAAGTCCCAAGGAACATCCTTTTGTGGCCCCTGTTCTGTGGTCCTTGTTGTCACACAGGTGAGGACAGAGCTGTGCCTTCCTCTCGGCACCCCTCGGTGTTTGATCTCCAAACACCAGCCAGGATGGGCACAGAAATAAAGCGATTCTTGTCCCCAGAGCCTAGAACATATTGAGCACTAGCTCAATAGTTGTTTTAACTGAGTCATAGGAACGTTTTCTAGAGTCTGTGGCTGTGTTTTTCACAGACTTTTCTGCCGTCTATCCCGCCCTTGCGGTTTGCCTCACTTACCATATTCAGTTCTTCTGAACATCCTGTAGTAGAAAATAAAATGTTGAAACTCTTTTTTTTTTTTTGCGGTACGCGGGCCTCTCACTGTTGTGGCCTCTCCCGTCCCGGAGCACAGGCTCCGGATGCGCAGGCTCAGTGGCCATGGTTCGTGGGCCCAGCCGCTCCGCGGCATGTGGGATCTTCCCGGACCGGGGCACGAACCCATGTCCCCTGCATCGGCAGGCGGACTCTCAACCACTGCGCCACCAGGGAAGCTCCAAGTGGCTCCTATTTTTAATAAAAAGTTTGGTATTTTCCCACTTCAGAGACACTGAAAATGATAAAAATGAGATGAATGAATGAAAAGAAAGCGTCCGCACAGCATTCCACCGCAGGGGCCGAGGGCGCCGCGGCACGTCGTCCCGACGTAACTGGGGCCTTTGTGAGCATCAGCTTGACGCACTTGAGCATCCCTGGGCCCTGGGACACGTCTGGCCTGGCCCCTCGTTTCCCAGCTGCCCCCTGCCCTGTGCCTCTGTGATTTAGGATTTTTGTTGGCGGAGGCCAAGTAGACTTGCGTTCATGAGCTTGGTCCTGCCTGGCTCTGCCCTCCCGCTGCATCCTCTCCATCTCCAGCTGCCTCAGTGCCTCAGACCTCAGGGAAGCGGGGGGAAGTAGAAAAACCTGCCCCAAATCCCTTTGTCACTTCATAACAGGCTGACAGTGACGCTCCTCGTGGAGTTGGCCGCAGACAGGAAGCAGGCAGCGAGGACAGGGCTACAGGCGGGGTGCAGAGCACAGGACACCAGGAATCCTCTGAAACAGCTCAGTGCCTAGGTTGTTATATTTTAAACAATTTTATTAAGGAAATGCATGCATAAAGACAACTATTAACTAGAGTTTATAACCCAAACCCACAGTCTCCTGTCCCCCGTCCCTACACCAGGGCTTAGGATCTGACCTGGGAACACATTCTGCTGTTTGGGAAATACTTGTGTTTTATTTCTTTGATAAGTTCTTATCTTTTTAAATTAATAAATGTCTCTTTAAAATAAAATCTCGAAAACAGAAATATACAAAAAGATCACCCATTTTGGACCCTATACTGTTAATTGTTAACATCTTTTCTCCTAACTTTGCTGAAGTTAGGAGCCTTGAGTCCTGGTGCTGGGCTGCCCTCTAGAGGTCAGGCTGGGGCACTGCAGCCTCTCAGCGGGCGTTCTCGGCCTCCGAGTAGTGAGTGTATGAGGCTGAGAAGCCAGCTGAGAGTCGTACCTTTTCCAGGTATTTATGTTCGTCCCCGATCGTCCCCTGCAAAGCTCGAGGCAGAAGTTCTTCCAGAACACTCAAGGAAGAATGTTGGGACTCGTGTAACTAGCGTTTTTGGTTTGTTTGTTTTGGCTGGTGTACCACAGCTCTTCCAAATCATTTATGTGATAAAACTCTCACAGATTCTGCCTCCTTTTAAAAAATTGAAGCCTGAGTCCCCTGCCTGGTGATGGCCTGCGAGGGCTTCTTCGCGAAGCCGTCCCAGAAGCAGGAGGGGCTGCGTCCGCCTGATGCGTCGTGGACCTGTTCTCTTTGCCTGAAGCTTCTTTTTGGTAAAATCATAAAGAAACCTGTATTTCAGCACACCTTTCCGTTTTTTCACAGTAACCGTAGCAAGAAAGTTTCTCTTCCTCAGTTTGTAGCTAAAGCAAAATACAAAATGCACAGCTTTAAGAAAAAAACAGAACAAGGGAGCTGGCCGACCCACGTGGGCCCTGGTGCCTCAGGAGTACCGGCCTCCCCGGGACAGGGCAGGACAGGACAGGGCAGAGCAGGACAGGACAGGAGAGGACAGGACAGGTCAGGACAGGACAGGACAGGACAAAGCAGGACAGGACAGGAGAGGACAGGACAGGAGAAGGCAGGACAGGTCAGGACAGGACAGGACAGGACGAGCAGGGCTGCCCATGGGTTACCTCGGCTCAGGGATGCCCTGCAGACACCGGCCCAGGGCCGTCCCTCCTGTCCAGGCCTCACTCACATGATGCCCGGCCTTCCCGTGGTCTCCTGTTCCCGCAGTGCCTGGTGACCTGAGACCCAGACCCTCCAGGTAACTGGCCACGCTCAAACCATCGCCCCAACCCAGGGCCTCCCCGACCCCTGGCTGACACCCTGCGCCCAGGAGCGCCAACCCAACTTGTTCCCTCCAAAGGACTCCCTGACGGCTTAGTGATAAAACCTGTGGCCTGAAACCACGTGAAAGTGGCTGAGTCACTGGCAGAGAAATCAGAGAATGTTCCGGAAAGCCTGTGCACGTTTGTGCGTGTGCTTACCTTGTGTATTTAACGTGTCGTGAGTTACAGCCACGCAGCCCTGGTCCACGTTGCGAGGCGCCTCCTTGTGCCCCTCTCCCCAGGGGCCCACTGAGGCTGAACAGCCACTGGTTTCTGGTTTTACCCACCATGGGCCTTGTTTCACCCTTTAAAGATTTTTTTTTAAAAAGTGTAATTTTAAAATACATATAACATAAGATTTATTGTCTTCATAATCTTTTGGTCCAGTTCAGTGATATTAAGCGCATTCACACTGTTGCACAGCCATCTGTCTCCATCACTCTTGTCATCGTCATCTTGCAAACTGAGACTCTGTCCCCATTAGACAGCAGCCTACTCCAGCCCCTGGCAGCCCCCACTCTCTCTCTGTGAAGTTGGTTATTCTAGGGACCTCGTACAAGTGGAATCGTACAGTACTTGTCCTTTTGTGGCTGGCTGTTTCACTGAGCATAATGTCCTCAAGGTTCATCCATGGTGTTGTAACCGGAAGTGGGGTCCGGCCACTCGCCACTCAAAAGCCAATAAAGAGGCCAGGCTGGTGGAAGGGAAGGTTTGCTTTATTTTGCAGGCCAGCAGCCGGGGTGGGGGGCGGAGGGAGACGGACGCCTGTCCAAAGGCCGACTCCCCCCGCTGACAACCAGGGGGCAGGAGCTTTTCCAGACAGCTTTTATTCTACCGGCGGAAACAGCACAGGCAGCTCTGACAGTCACCATGAAATTGGTCATCGCTGATCTGACCGACGTCATCTTGATTGTTTTAGGTACAGTTAAACTTCAGTTCCACATTCGGTTTGCTTCCATCTCTTTGAGGCCAGTTCTCGGAATTGTGGCAGCTTCTGTCATGGCTACAGTCTGGTCATCATGGAGTTAACTTCTTTCACCCGGTGAGGGTTTCAGTATCTGCAAGACAGCTCACAGGATACGGCTCAGAGTATTATCTCTATCCCTTAAGGGGGAACTAAAGGTCCTTGACTATGCTTAATGACTAAACTATTATTTTTTGGTCTCCTTTGACTGTTTTCCTTTGTTTCTGCATTTTCTCACTTCTCTGATTAAACTTATTCTTTGGCTAAAGTTTTTCCACAGACAAAAGGCAGGCTGAGGACATAGCGTCCTGCTGCGTTTCAGTGTAGCCTGTGTCAGGGTTTCCTTCCCTCTTAAGGCTGAATAACATTCCATTGTGTGGTTGTGTATCCATTCATCCGTCTGTGGACATTGGGTTGTTCCCCTCTTTTGGCCACTGAGCAATGCTGGTATGGACACTGGGGTACAAATATGTGTTTGAGTCCCAGCTTTTAGCTTTTGGGGGTATACACCCAAAAGTGGAGTCACCAGTTCATGATAGTCCTATTTTTAACTTGTTGAGAAACCACCCAACATCTGCCCCCCTGGCTGCAGCTTTTGCATTCCAGCCGGCAGTGCACAGGGTTGTTTCTCCACATCCCCGCGAGCGCTTGGTTTCTTCTCTCTTCTGTTCCCCGTCACCATCCTAATGGGCGTCCCGTGGTTTTGATTTGCATTTCCCTGCTGATGAGTAACGTAGACCTCTGTTTGATTTTGAATTGTTTCCGAATACTCACGGCTCACTCTGCACTGCTTTCCAGAAAAGAGATGAAGTTGCTGGAGCAGTCGGGCTCCCTGAAAGGCTCGCTGGGCGCCGAGGAGCAGCTGTCACTCATCAGCAGTTGTTCCGACATCCGGGAGGCGGTAGAGGGCGCCCTGCACGTCCAGGTGAGTGGGGACACCTGCCCGCCGGGGTTGGAACAGCTAGCCTTCCAGCTCCTTGGGTCAAAGGCAGTCGAAGGCGTGGGCATCGTGTACCTGCAGGTCAGGATGCCGTTCACGTGACAGGAAACACTGTCTTTAACCGTCTGGTACATGGGCTCCCGTCAAACCCCTGGGATAGTGTTATCTTTCAGGGGTGTTAGAACGTTGAGCAAAAATACATTTTCTGGACAGCTGACACTGTTATTTTGTTCTTCTTCTAATTGAATGAGAGATTATGTTCATGTTCTCATATGCAATTGTGTAAAAGCTGAAAGAAATCACCCAAAAGAAACCCTTTTGTTTCTTGTGGCATTTGCATTTAGTTTTTCCAACAACGTCACTCAGCAAAAGCAGGCTCTCTGGAGGCCCTGTTCCCACCGCCGAGGATGCTCCAGGCCGAGCGGGAGGTGCCCTCACAGGGTCCAGCCCACCCGGGCCCACAAGCAGCTCCTGCCCCACTGAGACCCCGGTGTCACCCCGGCTTCTGAAATGTGACACTTACTGCCCAGGGTTGACGCGGGCTTCGCTCCGGAGCCCCTCACTGTCTGTCCAGTCAGTGCTGATGTTTCGTCTGCTCTGTGACGATGGTTGAGCTGAGAATGTGGGAGCAAACCCGGGGCCCGAGTGTGTTTCCTGGTCCGGAGGCCGAGGGCCTGACGCTCCTCCAGTTCACACAGCAAAGCTCCCCATCTCCTCCTGGTCTTTCCACCCGGATCTCGTGACACCGAGGGCTCTGAGGGGCCCCGGCGTTACTGCTTAGCCTTCCTGACGTGGCCCTGAGTGCCCAGGGGTCCTCCCAGCACGGTCCCCGCAGAGGAGGGTCTTCACGTGGTTAGCTCGTTTTTAAGGGAAGTGTCTTCTCTTCTGCGACCCTGCTGGAGGAGGGGGATGTAGGTTGTGCAGCTCGTGGTGCCAGAAGAGACCCCCTGCAGGGGCGAGGGGACAGGGGACCGAGGGCTCCAGAGCAGACCTCGAGCCGCCCGCCCTGTACTGAGCAGCTGTGAGGGCCTTTCTCCGGCTTCCTGACCCGACCCCTCGTCCTGGTCCGGCGAGGGTGGGACACCCATGCCTGGTTCGTCGTGGTCACATCAAGTGACCCTAATGCAAGGCCAGGCTCCGTTGCCTCCAATGAGAACATCAATAAATTCCTTTTTGGGGTCAATTTGATATATAATATTTCCGCGATGGAAATGAAAGTTTATAATGACACGTATGATGACCTGACATGTGACCACAGAACACTCGTTCAGACTCTTAACGGTGTCTGACTTGGCGTCTGTCTTCACTAAGTGACTTGAGCCTCTTTTCTTTTTTTTTAAATTAATTAATTTATTTTTGGCTGCGTTGGGTCTTGGTTGCTGCTCGTGGGCTTTTCTCTAGTTGCGGCGAGCGGGGGCTGCTCTTCGTTGTGGTGGGTGGGCTTCTCATTGCAGTGGCTTCTCTTGTTGCAGAGCATGGGCTCTAGGTGTGTGGGCTTCCATAGTTGTGGCTCGTGAGCTCTGTAGTTGTGGCTCGCGGGCTCTAGAGCGCAGGCTCAGTAGTTGTGGTGCACAGGCTTTGTTGCTCCGCGGAATGTGGGATCTTCCCGGACCAGGGATCGAACCCGTGTCCCCTGCATTGGCAGGCGGATTCTTAACCACTGCGCCACCAGGGAAACCCGCAACTAATGCATCTTAATTTCACCTTATGTTTTCCAAACAAATGAGAAAATAAATCCCCCCCAATCAAAACCTGCGTGATGTGATACCATGTGTTTGTTAAGTTATATTAGGTTTCTAAACATTTATTTTAAAGAATAAAGAAAGTTTGGGAGAATCCTACTCGGGTCCATTATTCCAAAAATGTTTTAGTACTTTCCTGTATTTGTATTTCTTTCCATTTCTTCTGTTTATTTTCTCTCTTTCTCTAACATACTTAACATTATACTGTAAATAGAATTTTGCCTCACGGTTTTTCTTTAGGACTTTACAGCCTTTCTTGCCTTCCTGTCTCTATCAGATAGAAGTATAATTTTTGGACTTAAAAAAAAAACTGTTATGTTTATCATGTGATATCTAACCTGAGAGAACCTTCCATCTAAAAATGACCTCGGGGCTTCCCTGGTGGCGCAGTGGTTGAGAGTCCGCCTGCCGATGCAGGGCACACGAATTCACCGCCCGGTCTGGGAAGATCCCACATGCCGCTCAGCGGCTGGGCCCATGAGCCATGGCCGCTGAGCCTGCGCGTCCGGAGCCTGTGCTCCACAACGGGAGAGGCCACAGCAGTGAGAGGCCCGCGTACCGCAAATAAATAAATAAATAAATAAATAAAAATGACCTTGAAGCTGAAGGGCCAAGGCCACGGCTGCATCCGCCCCCGCCAGCCTCGCGGCAGCTCCCTGTCCTAGTGCCCGGAGGCTTCCTGCCAGCCCAGCCCTTCTTAGCAATTCCTTATAGTTCCCTTTTTCCCAATTATAAAAGGAAAAATTCTCATTGTAGAGAAATTAATCCAGGCTACTTGGAGACTTTTCTGTAATAAAAAGAGAATGATCATTACTTTAGTGAATTGTCCAGAGTCAGGAGGCAGAGCGCGTGAATTAATACAAACAATGCTTCCACCGCAAACCATCCAGTTGTGGGATTTACTGAGTCCCGAGGGTCACAGCCCCAGAAATGTGAGCGTAGTTCTTTGTGGTCAGTTTGTCTTCTACCCAAACCCCAGCGGGCGGGAGCCTGGGTCAGAAGGTTTCCTAACACTCTGCTGAAATGTGGGAGCGTGCAAGAATGGAACCTGAATTTCTAGAACTTAGTGCAATTTTGAAATCAAATCTTGCCTGGCAAGAGAATCTACCGTGCAGGAAAAATAAGTTTATTCTGAAAAGCCCGTCTAATGCATTGGCTGTTACAGAGCATTAAGGCTCACTAGCTGTGGTACAGAGGCTTCATCTTACCTCTGGAATTTCAGACCTGAGATCAAGGTAGCTGGTAGGAGCCCTGGGAATGGTCATGGAATTAAGTATGAGCTTTAAGTGGACTTACCTTACACAAGCAGGGCAGCAGCCGAGATCTAGAAGTAAAAATGATATTTATCCATGTGGATGTGAGAATTTGCATCTGAACCTTACCTGTAAAATTTAGAAAATGCTAGTCTTTTTTTTTTGGCTGTGTTTGGTCTTCGTTGCTGCGCGCGTGTCCCCTGCATTGGCAGGCGGATTCTTTCTTTTCTTTTCTTTTTTTTTTAAAGAAGATGTTGGGGGTAGGAGTTTTTATTAATTGATTTATTTATTTTTGCTGTGTTGGGTCTTCGTTTCTGTGCGAGAGCTTTCTCTAGTTGTGGCAAGTGGGGCCAGTCTTCATCGCGGTGCACGGGCCCCTCACTATTGTGGGCTCTCTTGTTGTGTAGCACAGGCTCCAGACGCGCAGGCTCAGCAGTTGCGGCTCACGGGCCCAGCCGCTCCGCGGCATGTGGGATCCTCCCAGACCAGGGCTCGAACCCGTGTCCCCCGCATTAGCAGGCAGATTCTCAACCACTGCGCCACCAGGGAAGCCCGGCAGGCGGATTCTTGACCACTGTGCCACCAGGGAAGTCCATGCTAGTCATTTTGGTAAGGACTTGGAGACTGTCAGTAATTACAGGAAGCAGTGTTCACGATAAATACTACAGTTTAAATGTGTACATTTTCTTAAAGAATGCAAGCTTGCTGGACTTTTGGTCTTGGTCCACTGAGGCTCAGAATGATCCTCCTTTTGGTGGGTTGTGGTCGGAGTGGGAGGGTTGTGTTCAAGTGTGGCGGGAGCACATGGGGCGACCAGCACTGAGAGTGCACATTGAAACTCGAATTTCATTTTTCCTGTTCATGTGTGTGTGTTTTAATTTGTAAAATCAGGCTATAATTTACATACAGTAAACTCTGGCAGTTTTAGTGTCCAGTCCTGTGTGTTCTGAGAAATGCGTGAAGTCAGGTCACCCCACCCCCAGCTTTAGAGCATGCCCGTCACCCCACAGAGTCCCCTCCTTCCCCTTTGCCATCAGCCTCCCCTCCCCATCCCAGGCCTGCAGCCACTGCTCTGGTTCTGTCCCTAGAGTTTTGCCTGTTCCATAATGTGGTATAAGGTGGAATCACCAGGGCTTGCACATGCTTTGTTAGATTCATACACAAATAGGTCATGAATTAGGTGCTCTTGTAAAAGGTACCTTCAGAAATTTTCAACTCCTAATTGCTCGCTGCTAGCAGATAGTAATATAGTTACAGTTAAAAGTGTGTTGTTTCATTTATTTAAATTTGGGAGGGTTTTCCATATATCTTTGTTATTGATTTCTAGTTTTAAGTCCATTATAGTCCCAAAACATACTTTATGTCATTTCAATTCTTTGAATTTGTTGAGGCGTATTTTATAACCCAGGATATAGTTTATCTTGGTGAATATTCCATGTGCAGTTGAGAAAAATGTGTATTCTGCTGTTGTTGAGAGGAGTGAACGTAAATATCAACTAGGTCGTGTTGGTTGATAGTGTTATTCGGGTCTTTTTTTTTTGGCTGCGTTGGGTCTTCATTGCTGCGCGCGGGCTTTCTCTAGTTGTGGCGAGTGGGGGCTACTCTTTGTTGGGGTGCATGGGCTTCTCATTGCGGTGGCTTCTCTTGTTGTGGAGCATGGGCTGTAGGCACGAGGGCTTCAGTAGTTGTGGCACGTGGGCTCAGTAGTTGTGGCTCACAGGCTCTTGAGTGCAGGCTCAGTAGTTGTGGCACACGGGCTTAGTTGCTCCGAGGCATATGGGATCTTCCCGGACCAGGGCTCGAACCTGTGTCCCCTGCACTGGCAGGCGGACAGGTGTGAGCTGTGCTCTGTCTGTACCTCCTGGTGGCCTAGGCCCTCCCGCCAGCTCACACTCAGCAATTTGTTGGGCTTTGGGTTGACTTATCACCTGCTTTAGTAGTGCCTGCAGTTTTCCTCTGAGCTCTGCCCCAGGGGACAAAGCCTCCAGTC